TCATATTACAGTATCATTAAATCAAAAACTTGTTTTGAAAAAGTTAAATATCATAAAGTCATCTGGGATATATAGGAGTGAATACACCCTCTTCAACATGGAAACTAAGGCTTTACTCCCAGTCCTAAGCATAGCTGCTTTATGGGCAAATAGGAGATCCTGATACTTGTTTTCAGATCCATGGTATGGAAAATAAAATGAGCTTATATATATAGTTTCAAAACAGGCAGATCTTGGGCTGGGTGTGGTGGTTTACGCCTATAATCCCAGCGCTTAGGAGGCTGAGGTGGGTGGATAGCCTGAGCTCACAGATTTGAGACCAGCCTGAGCCAGAGCCCGACCCCATCTCTAACAAATAGCTGGGCGTTGTGGCAGGGGCCTGTAGTCCCAGCTACTTGGGAGACTGAGGCAAGAGAATCACTTAAGCCCAAGAATTTGAGGGTTGCTGTGAGCTGTGACACCACGGCATTCAACCAAGGGCAACATAGTTGAGACTTTGGTGAAACTGTTAATGATGTTAAATGGACAGTTAATGCCCACTGAAAGAAACACCTAAAAGAAAAGTAGCTGGTACCCAAGCCACTACATTTGGTAATGCTGTTTTTCATGAAACATTTTTAAAATATTACTTTAAACAAAACATTTTGTCTCTTGTAATATATATGTATACTACCATACTGTACAGAATCTGTACTTACATTTGGTGTGTAATATACCAATTAGTTTTTTGTAATATCCTCATCAGCTATTCCAATTTTTGAGTAACACAGTAAACTGTAGATGGATAGTCTATATAATATTAGAAAAATAGTAAGCTTTATAAATAGTTATTTTTGGTAAGTGGTAAAAAATTTGAAGTGGAATATGATGGAATTAAAATGTAACTTCCTTTTTATTAAAGCTAAATATTAACTGATACACAAATCTAACATAAAAGGAAAATCAGCCAGATTTTCATGCAGATTAAATATAATATGCATATCAAATATGTATAGTGATATTTTAAAAATAAAGGTTCAAGACATCATAGTTGTAGCTACATTACAGTATTCAATTACTACCTATAATTCCATTATGATGTATTTAATTATGTATTTCATAAACCAGCCTATAAATTCAGAATCAAACTGATATGGACTAAACATTTTAGACTTACAGCTAGAATTAAAATACACCAGTATTTCATTAGTTAGAAATGTATTACTTTACCCTCATTGTTGAAATATTTATGCTATGAACACTTTAAAAACTGAATTTCTTGGCTCGGCGCCTGTGGCTCAAGCGGCTAGGGCGCCAGCCACGTGCACCTAGGGTGGCGGGTTCGAATCCCCAGCCCGGGCCCGCCAAACAACAATGACGGCTGCAACCAAAAAATGGCCGGGTGTTGTGGCGGGCGCCTGTAGTCCCAGCTACTGAGGCAGGAGACTCGCTTGAGCCCAGGAGTTGGAGGTTGCTGTGAGCGGGATGCCATGGCACTCTGCCCAGGGGGATAGCTTGAGGCTCTGTCTCAAAAAAAAAAAAAACTGAATTTCTTTACAACCACAAACTATATCCTTTGATCTTACACATCAAATTTTAAGATTATTATGCTGAGCTACAAGCAGCCGTAGAGAGGCCACGGAGCCTGGGACGATCAAGCTAGCCCAGTCGCTGCGCCCCCGTGGCAGCCACCAGGGTCACTAAGAACGCAGATGAGTCCAACCATGACCCACAAAGTTTGAGCCGATAGTTTCTCTTCCCAAGTAAGAAATTAAAACGCTGGAGAAGATGAAGAGGAGCTTTAGAGAAATGTGTGCAAAGCTATTCCGATTTGCTTCCCAGAACGATCTTCCAGAATGGAAGGAGTGAGGCACCGCTTACGTCAAGCTCCTGAAGAGCCGGAGAAAGGGACCATCCGCCTCCTGGTTAGGATGGCCCACACCCTGAAGAGTCGCGCCAAACGCGACTTCACACAGAGGATGGCTGAAGCCCAAGGCGGCACGCCGCGCCTGGGGGGGGGGGACACACCCTGCCAACCTTGCCGAACAGTGTTCCCACCAGCGTTGTAAGCGCAGGTGTTGGCCATCCACTTCCTAAATGCCGAGACTGCACAGAAATTCAAAACAGTTTGAAAAGTGCAGGAAATAGATCAAAGAGAGAGAAAAGAAAGCAGGATCCAGCAAAGAGCAATACTGCTGAGAAAGTAGCTGAAAAGCTATAAGTTCTTTCAGTGAAGAACGAGACCAAGGAAGAAGCTGAGGAGAAGGAATAAAAATCTCTTATTTCCTTTCTTTTTTCTTATTAAAAATTTGCTCTGCCCCCCCTCCAGTTATTTTTATTGTTTTGTTTTTTACAAGGGTCTTTATATAAAAGAACTGAATTCCAACATTAAAAAATATAATATTGAAAGTAAAGAGTTTGGGGGCACCCATAGCTCAGTGGTTGGGGCGCCGCCCACATGCTCCGGGGGTGGTGGGTTTGAACCTGGCCAGGCCTACTAAACAATGACAAATGCAACAGAAATACCGCAGGGCATTGCGGCGGGTGCCTGTAGTCCCAGATGCTTGGAGGGCTGAGGCTAGAGAATCCCTTGAGCCCAAGAGTTTGAGGTTACTGTGAGCTGTGAAGCCACATCGCTCTCTCTACCCAGAATGACATACTGAGACTGACTCAATTACAAAAAGATTTTTCTGTAAAAATACTAATTTTTGTAAATCCAAATGTTTAAAATAAGCTGCCATTTCAGCACTTGAAAGCAGTTTAACGACACATTTATTTATTTAATTTATTCATTTATTTTTGTAGACCGGGGATGGGCTTGAACCGGCCACCTCCAATATATGGGGCCCGCACCCTACTCCTTGAGCCATAGGCGTCACTGTATTTTATTTTTTTTTTTTTGAGACAGAGTCTCACTTTGTCACCCTCAGTAGAGTGCCGTGGCGTCACAGCAACCTCAAACTCTTGGGGCTTGGGTAAATCTCTTGCCTCAGCCTCCCAGGTACCTGGGACTAAAGGCACCCACCGCAACACCCGGCTAAATTCTTTTTTTTGTTTGTTTTGTTTAGCAGGCCCTGGCTGGGTTTGAACCCACCAGCCCCAAAGCAGGTGGCCAGCACCCTAACCACTGAGCAATGGGCCCAGCCAAGAACACTAATTAAACTTATACTTTAACAATACATAATGGGCATGGTGGGTCACATCTATAATCCTAGCACTTTGGGAAGCTGAGGTGAATGGACTGCTTGAGCTCAGGAGTTCTGAGACTAGCCTGAGTCACAGTGAGACCTCGTCTCTAAAAATAGCCAGGCATTGTGGAGGGTGCCTGTAGTCGCAGCAACTTGGGAAGCTAAGGCAGGAGGACTGCTTGAGCCCATTGCTGTGAGCTGTGATGCTACTGGACTCTACAGAGGGCAACAAAGTGAGACAGTCTCAGAAAAAAATAAATAAGGTGGCACCTGTGGCTCAAAGGAGTAGGGCACCAGCCCCATATGCCAGAGGTGGTGGGTTCAAACCCAGCCCCGGCCAAAAATAAATAAATAAATAAATAAATATGTAATCATGAATTGGATTCTAGATCAAACATTTTTATTTTAATAAGTGTACTGTGACTGTGTGACAGGATGTCCTTGTTTTCTGGAAACACACAATGAAGTATTTATGGATAAATTTATAGATAAAGGGCAATATGTGTTCCATACACTCTCTAATGTTCTAGAAAAATTAGAAAGCAGTCAAACAGCTGGGGAAACAAAATTAAAGGTATACACTCAATCCATACTGTTTCTGTAACTCTCCTATAAACTGAAATAAAGTTTTTCTTAAGCCCTCCCTTGAACCACAGCCCTTCCAACTGCCTTCCTATTTCTGTGATGCCTTTTGGTTTTGGAAACTGAGTCTCTGTCTTGCCCAGCTAGAATGCCATGGCATCATTATAGCTCACAGCAACTTCAAATTCTTGGGCTCAAGTGATCCTTCTGCTTAAAACTCCCAAGTACCTGGGAATATGGGTGGCCTGCCAGCATGTCTGACTAATTATTTTTAATAGCGACAATGGTCTCAAATTCCTAAGCTCAACAGAGATCCTCCCAGCTCAGCCCTCCAGAGTGCTAGGAATCTAAGTGTGAGACTGTGATACCTTCACAGGGAGCCTCCACTGAAAGTCTATCCAGGCTCCCTGTCTCTGCTCCCTTCCCATCTTTTCATTCTTTCAAAACCCATCTGGGCTTTCAGCATCTCCCCATGCCACCCAAACTGTACCTGTCAGGACACCCAGGTGTTTCCCTTCAGCTCCTTGGCTTCCCAATCTCTCCTTCTCTTCCTTCTATCTATTCACTTTTTATCTCCACAGTTCTAACAGGCCCCTCCAACCTTACCTGGCCAAAGTGAACTCACTGTTCATTTCCCTGCCCCTCATAATGCTGCTCTCAATCTTGCTTATCACAGTTAGTGGAAATCCCACATTTCCACGTGGTTGATCCTTGGCTCCTTTCTCACCCACTACATCAAGCCCTTCTCTCCATGCTTGCTATTAGAGATTCTAACCACTCTTCACAGCACCACCACCATGTCAACCCTGGGGTCCCAGCCACCAATATCTGTAGCCTGGATAATTACAACCATCTCCTGTTTGGTCTCACTAATGCCACCTCTCCCCTGCCCTGTGGTCTATTCTCAGAGGAGCCATACATTTACCTTCTAAAGACAAATCTGATCAAAACTGTCCCTTTGGCTGACATGACAACTAACACCTGTAATCTCAGCACTCTGGGAGGCCAATTCCACTCTGGGAGAAATGGACTGCTTGAGCTTAGGAGTTCAAGACCGTCCTGAGCAAGAATGAGACCTTGTCTCTACTAAAAATAGAAAAAATTGCCAAGTGTTGTGATGGGCACCTATAGTCCCACCTACTTGGGAGGCTGAGGCAAGAGGATCTCTTGAGCCTAGGAGTTTGAAGTTGTTGTGAGCTATAATGATGCCACAGCACTCTACCCAGGGCAATAGAGACTGTCTCAAAAATAGTACTCAGTCAGCAGCACATACACTGAAATTGGAACAATACAGAGAAAGATTAGCATGGCCCCTGCACAAGGATGACACGCGTTCATGAATTGTTGTTCCATATTTTTTATCTACCTAGAAGAAAAATGATCATTTTGCCATAAGGACATGTGCACTAGACTGTTTGTTGCAGTTCAATTTATAATCACAAAGACGTGGAAACAAGCCAAGTGCCCATCAACACATGAATGGATTAATAAACTGTGGTATATGTATACCATGTGATACTATTCAACCATAAAAAAAAGATGGAAATTGTACATCTTCTGTATTAACCTGGATGCAGCTGAAGAACAGTCTCCTCAGTAAAGTACCATAAGAATGGAAAAGTATCCAATGTACCCAATACTAATATGAAACCAGTAGATGATCACAAGCCCACATAAGAGAAAAACAATTAAATTCAAGTGGTTGGGAGGGTAGAGGTGGGAGGGGGATTGGTGTGCTCTCAGCTAACGGGCATGATGTAGGGTAACTGGCACACCTCCTGGCTGAAGGGCTCAACTACAACCTGGACTTTACATAACCAACGCAAACAATGTAACCTAATTGTTTATACCCTCATATTAATCCAAAATTTAAAAAGTAAATAAAAATATAAAAATTTTTAGAGGTATCTTATATTCCTTTGAACTAAGTCATAAAATTTCAATATATTTTATACTTAGGCCACATCAATTGGACCAACCACATTTCAATTACTTGATAGTAACACGTGCCCAGTGGCTGCCAATTGTCCCACTAATGTCCTTTATCTGATCCGTGAGCTTCAAGAGAGCAGAATTGTCTTTTGTTCAGTGTCTCCCCATCACCTGAAACAGTACCTGGCATTTGGCACTCAAAAATGTACTGAATGAATCATCTAGAAACTGCTAAAATCTAAGATCAGCAAAACAGAAGCATTTGAAAAAGAAAACATAACAGCAAGCTACCAAGCTTTCTCAACCAGAAAAAACATATACAGAATAGGAAACGCTTGGTAAAATCCCATGAAAGTTTATTGTTGTATCATAATACTTAAAAGAAAAAAAAACACTGTCTAAGAAAAGTACTTTAACATTGATAGTTAGATTTAGAAAATGACTTGTTTTGTTTCTAACTCGGGGCAAAGAAAACTGGCTGAAACATGTCAGAGGCTGATCAACATAACAAATACAGTAAAGTTACCACACGCTTGCTTTCGGCCTTAAAACATCTAGACTGTCAAAAGGAACTCTCCTTGTACCTTGAGATCCTAATTGGACTTTAATGTTTTAGGAACAACAAAAGGTACTAAATGCTGTTCATTTCCTTAGGCATGACCTGTGTCAACTTGTAGGGTTCCCTTTGGTTTGAGGAACTTAAAGCCTCATTGTGAGTGCCCAAATGTCCAAATACATGTTATTTTGCTCATACACATTTGTTTTCAGCACTTAACTGTTAAATCTAAATATTTTACCTTTAATGCACCTAGATTTTTCTTCTGTGTTTAGAGTTTTACGTTTTTTCCTTTTGCTTTTTCTCTTCCCAAATCTGTTTTTCATACAAACTGACTTTATAAAATTCGCTATCAAAGCTACCATGCCATGGATTGCCCAAAATCCTCACTTGCTTTTTTTATAATGTGAAGATATATTTATTCATGGGGGTGGCTGTGGCTCAAAGGAGTAGGGCACCAGCTCCATATGCTGGAGGTGGCAGGTTCAAACCCAGCCCCAGGCAAAAAAAAGAAAGATATATTCATGAAGAATACCTGATCCAAAAACTTTCAAACCACCCCTTACTGTAGAGCACCAATTTTCAAAAGTATTGGAGAATCCCTGAGACACTTTTAGGAAGTCCAGTAAGTCAAAACATTTTATAATACAAAGATGTTTTTGCCGTTTTCGCTGTGTTTTGCCCTGATGGCACAAAAAACAATGGTAGGTAAAATTGCTGGCCTTAACAAGAATAAAGGCACTGGTACTAAACTAGTCACTGTATTCTTCACTGGCACTTGCAATAAATAATTATGCAATTTTTGTTTTTAAACATCCTTGATGAGCAGCAAAAATTATTAAACTTCATTAAATCTCACTTTTGAGTATCCATTTTCTTTTTTTTTAAGCCACAGTCTCACTCTGTCGCCCTGGGTAAAGGGCTGTGCTGTCACAGCTCACAGCAACCTCCAACTCCCAGGCTCAAGCAATTCTCTTGCCTCAGCCTCCCAAGTAGCTGGCACTACAGGTTCCTGCCACTACACCTGGCTAGTTTTTCTATTTTTAATAGAGATGGGGTCTTGCTTTTGCTCAAGCTAGTCTCAAACTCCTGAGCTCAAGCAATCCACCCATCTCAGCCTCCCAGAGTGGTAGGATTATAGGCATGAGCATCTATACGAAGAAAAGGGAATTATAAATAAAGACTCTGCTACCTATTAAAGTTTTCTGGAGAAAGAGTACCATGCAACTTGTTTGACCTGCAAGATGATCCACTTTTTTTCATGAAGCATCAAGGAACTACAAGCAAACTGTGGTTATCTAAGTTTGACTATCTGGGAGATATTTTCTCAAGAGGAGACAAGTTGGGCAGTGCCTGTGACTCAGTGAGTAGGGCACTGGCTCCATATACTGAGGGTGGTGAGTTCAAACCCAGCCCCAGCTGAACTGCTACAAAAAAAAATAGCCAGGCATTGTAGCAGGTGCTGTAGTCACAGCTACTCAGGAGGCTGAGGCAAGAGAATCACCTAACCTCAGGAGTTGGAGGTTGCTGTGAGCTGTGATATCACAGCACTCTACAGAGGGTGATAACGTGAGACTGTCTCTACAAAAAAAAAGAGGAGACAAAGTTGGCAGCGCTTGTAGCTCAGTGGGTAGGGCACCAGCCATATACACCAAGGCTGGTGGGTTCAAACCTGGCCTGGGCCAGCTTAAACGACAACTGCAAAAAAAAAAAAAAAAATAGCTGGGAGTTGTGGCAGGCGCCTATAGTCCCAGCTACTTGGGAGGCTGAGGCAAGAGAATCACTTTAGCCCAAGAGTTTTTGAGGTTGCTGTGAGCTGTGGCATCATAGCACCCAAACCAGGGCGACAGCTTGAGACTTTGTCTCAAAAAAAAAAAAAATGCCCAACAACACTGTGCAATAAATTTTATCACTACTTACAGATTTAAAAAACTAAGACACTCAGAATTTAATCAGTTTGGCCAAGATCACACACAGATTAAGCAAAGATTCCAGTTGAGGTCTCCAAGCAGAATGTCCTCCCTACAGTGGTGCTATACCAACTTCAGTTAATTGCATGTTCACAGGCTAGTCGTAGTGGCTCACAGGCTAGCATTTTGGAAGGCCTGAGGTGAGAGGACTAGCCTGGGCAATAGCAAGACCTCCACTTCTACAAAAAATTTTCAAAATTAGCAGAGCACGGTGGCAAGCACCTATAGTCCCAGCTACTCAGGAGGTTGAGCCAGGAGGATCTCTCAGGACCAGGAAGGAGTTTGAGGCTGTAGTGAGCTATGACGATGCTACTGCACTCTAGCCTGGGAGACAAAATGAGACCCTGCCGATCTCCCCATGGAAAAGTATTTGCTTAAAAGTGCTTATCACAATTTTATCCAGAGGCTCATTACATCATTTGGGATGCTGTTAATAAAAATCAAATACCAGGGCTCGACTCCTGTGGCTCAAGCAGCTAAGGTGCCAGCCATATACACCTGAGCTGGCAGGTTCAAATCCAGCCCAGGCCCACCAAACAACAGTGACAGCTGTAACCAAAAAATAGCAGGGTGCTGTGGCGGATGCCTGTAGTCCCAGCTACTTGAGAGGCTGAGGCAACAGAATCACTTAAGCCCAGGAGTTGGAGGTTCTGTGAGCTGTGATGCCACAGCACTCTACTCAGGGTGACAGCTTGAGGCTCTGTCTCAAAAACAAATAACCAAACAAAAAATCAAATACCAGGAGCTTTAATCAGCATTACTGAGGACCATCTTGCCATCAATAAGCTCAGCCAACCTTATTACAGGATTCCTAGTCCTATACCACAATTTACCCTAATAATCTGTCAGAGGGTACCCTAAGAACAGTTCTGAATTCCATGGGACATTAAGGCACGTAGCCATTCCCATGAAGCACTGATGAAGCAAAAAAAGCTTCATCTCTGTTGAGCAGCTCCTAAAATTAACCCAAGCATCAAGGCTCCTATGATAATCCCAAATAAATATGTGATAATCCCAAATAAACATCCGCTAAATGGCATTAACTAAACTGACTGAGCTCCTAATGTTAAACACATGAAGAATGAAAATAATGCAGTCAGCTGGGTGCAGTGGCTCACGCCTGAAATCTGAGCACTCTGGCAATCTCAGGCAGGTGGACTGCCTGAGCTCACAGGTTTGAGAACAGCCTGAGCCGGAGCCAGAGCAAGACCTTGCCTCTAAAAACAGTTGGACGTTGGTTGTGACGGGCACCTGTAGCCCCAGCTACTTGGGAGACTGAGGCAAGACAATGGCTTAAGCCCAAGACTTTGAGGTTACTGTGAGCTGTAATGCTATAGCACTCTACTGAGGGTGACAAAACAAAATTCTGTCTCAAAAAAAAAAAAAAAGGGCTCGGTGCCTGTGGCTCAAGTGGCTAAGGCGCCAGCCACGTACACCCAAGGTGGCAGGTTGGAATCCAGCCCAGGCCCGCCAAACAATGTGGGCTGCAACCAAAAAATAGTCGGGCATTGTGCCAGGTGCCTGTGATCCCAGCTACTCGGGAGGCTGAGGCAGGAGACTCGCTTGTGCCCAGGAGTTGGAGGTTGCTGTAAGCTGTGATGCCACAGAACTCTATCCAGGAGGACAGCTTGAGGCTCCTGTCTCAAAAAAAAAAAAAAAAAAATGCAGTCACAGTCACTTGTGTGCATGATGTCATTAATAAAAATCAAATACCAGGCTACACTTCACCCTGCACCAAACCTGAGCCTCTTTAATCTCTCCCCCCCCCCTTTTTTTTTTTGGCAATTTTTGGCTGGGGCCAGGTTTGAATGCACCACCTCCAGTATATGGGGCCAGCACCCTACTCCTTTGAGCCACAGGCACTGCCCAAGCCTCTTTAATCTCAAACAGCCTGCCATTCC